CCCTTTTTTCTCTTTCTTTTTAATTTTTTTATTTGTTCGTCGAACCGTGAACTGGCCATTCATTCACAAATCGTTCCTTTCCATTCAAGAGACTCGGAAGAGTCGAGGAATCAATCTCAGCCCATATACGAAAGGAATCGTTCTCAGAAGTTAACCTTCCAAAATATATATTGAAATTGAATAGTAAATTTATTGTTTGAGCTACTTGTCATAATCCCACTTTAATGGCAACGGACTTGCGATTGTGCGGCACTCACTTTCTAACCACAAGCGAGTTAAGCCTGTTCGTCCTTGCGTCCTAGGGCTAGTTCAAGAAAAAAGTTTTAGAAAACGGGACAAAGAGATTTCAAAAGAGAGTTTTGAAATTGAAATTTGTTTTGTATAGGAATGTTAGCAAAGGACGACAACAACAACTTACTGCATCTAACGGAGAAAAAAATTTACAATATGAAAAATTGGGTTAGGTCCACAAAAATGTCACAACTCGACTCGTTCTAGTTCGACCCATGAACACTTAGAATCAAAACCTAGGGCCCGTCATTTTTTCGATAACTTTTATTTTCTAAATTGTAATATATTTTTTTAAAAAAAAAAAGAAAATTCCTAATTTAGTGGCTGAAAAAAGGATAGAGAGGTGGTTGCAATTATAACATAGACAAAAAGAGGAACACAAAGGTTTAAGAATCTTATTATTGCCAAATTAACCTTAATACAATGTACTAAACCTAACTTTAATATCAAAAATATATATATATATATATATATATATATATATATATATATATATAAAAGAGCTTTTTGATTCAAATAATTCAATTCATTTGAATCGGTCTGGTTCGAGGAATCTTTTTGGTTCACAAGTCGTAGTTCACGTTGGATTTGAACCTAATCTAATTAGATTAATTAAATGTTAAATTATAAATTTAATAGATTTGTATTTATTTGATCTATAAATCTTTATCTAACAGCACAGCGGGGAAATCTCTTCTCATTCTCTATTTGAACAAGAATTTTCTGTTCCGTTTGAGACTGATTTCCATAAAATAAATGGACATCTCTACTTATTATATATTTTAAATTCGGAAAAGGTCCTCAAAGGAGCCGTTCTCAGTCTGTCCCCCCTGTCGGCACGCAGCATCCCACTCTCGCCGCGAGAACAGAGAGATCAGTCCACCAACACCCGACGAGTTCGGGACTAGGACCCCCAGAACCAATCCTTTTCCCAAGGTAACGAATCCATTTTGTCGACTTTCTTGCCTACATTGTTCCATTGACGAGAGATTGTTCACCTTGTGGACCTGACGAGGTTAAGATCATAGTTGAAAAAATTGAAGAAATATTTAAATTGAGAATAAAATTATAAAAATTTAATTAAAAAGTATTGGTGAGGAAATTAATAAAGTCAAGATCACATGATGTTACAATCTAAGGACTTGTGGGTGGAAGAAAATGCAACAAACCCAACAACTTGTGTGCCATTATAATTCACACCTCCTTTCTCTCTCTTCCCTTTCTCTCTCCTCTTTTATTTTTAACTACTTCAACTCTTCTCTTTTTATTTTTACGACCCTACTTTCTCCCAATATTCAAAAATGTTCCATACGAGCGCTCGAGTAACCAAGAAACATTATTTTCGATCCATCAATCTAAACATAATTTATACAGATTGGAGAAACTCGAAATTTCGTGTTGGTCAGGTTGGTAACCCGAACAACTTGAATAGAGTTCACGACCTAATCTAATACCATTTTTTTTTGTTGGAAACGGTTGGATTGGTTGAATTGTCGGGTTGTTTTTTTTTTTTTCTAATTATTTATAGAATCTTGCGTATCTGCTGTACATGTAATATTAATACGAATAAACCCAAATTTTCGATTTTCGAAAAATTCAACCCAACCAAAATTGAAAAAGAAAAAATCTAACTCGACCCTTGGATAGTCCAAATTAGTCGGGTTATCAAGTCATATGCACATCTCTAATACCAAAATGACTTTCCACCCCTCGAGAATAGGATGTCAACCCAGATGGAGCAAATTCATTCAGATTCATTGTAACGAGATTGTAATAGTCCAAGTCCACCACTAGTAGATATTGTCCGCTTTGACCCGTTACATATCACCGTCAACCTTATGATTTTAAAACGTGTCTCTTAGGGAGAAGTTTCTACATCCTTATAAAGGATTCTTCGTTCCCCTCACCAACGACAATAAATAAATATATTTCTAAAAGGCTAACGGATCCCAATAATTTATTAAATATTAATTAAATATATATTTTAAAATTTTGATTTTGTATTTTCAATGGAGAATTAATATTATTTTCTTATTATTAATATTTGCCCTTTATTTGAATCATAATATTCCAATAAAAGCTTAAAACACAAGTCAATGAATTTTATTAAAGGAAAATACTTTCCCTAATGACTCACCATCATTAAAATTTTATAGTTATTTACTTTTTTTTGTTTTTTTTTTTTTTAAAAAAGCACGTTTGCGTGCTTTCTAAGACTATAGAGCCCTCATTATCGGGAGGGTAAAGAGCTTCCACTACGAGATGGGTAGAAGAAGATAGTACGAAAAACCTTTCTATAAAAGTTCGAAATGGTGAATTGAGATAGAGTAGATCGACGATGATGATTTCTAGAGTAGACCGAAGGAGCCCTATTTGTTTAATTTATTTCAGAAAAGGCAGTAGCGGTCGACAAGGTAATCTGACCATCAAGAACGAGTATTAACTTTGGTTACATATGTTTTCGCCCTAATCAATAACACATGAGATACTTCGAGAAGTTAGATATCAAGACAGATACTTTATTCACTAAATTTATTAAAATATTACCCTAAGTTTTATAAATAGGTATAAAAAAATGTTTTTATTTGAAAGTTTAGAGACTAAAATTAAGGTTTTAAAAAGATATAAACAAAAATTTGACGTGCAACAATCAAAATGAACACATAAAATGTGAGATCCTACATCAGTCAGAGTAGGGAACGAAACATTTACTATAAGGGTGTAGAAACCTCTCTCTAGTAGACGTGTTTTTAAATACCGTAAGACTGACGACAATATGTTATGGGCAAAACGGAACGGATCATATCTGCTTGCGATGAGTTTAGGCTTTTACAAATGGTGTAAGAGTCATACACTAGACGTGGACTTGAGCGGCTAAAAATGGTATTGGAACCAAACACTAGACATGTGTTTGGGCCGTTACAAATGGTATGACACTGGACAGAGTAGAGACAGACATTGGACGTGGGTTTGGGTTGTTACAAATGGTTTGACACTGAACGGTGTAGAGCCATACACTGGATGTGGGCTTGGGTGGTTACAAATAATAGAGCTAGACAGTGGACGTGGGCTTGGGCTGTTACAAATGATTTGACACTAAACGATGTAGAGATAGACACTAGATGTTGGTTTGGGTTGTTACAAATAGTTTGATACCCGAAGGTGTAGAGCTATACAGTGGATATGGGCTTAGGCGGTAACAAATAATAGGGCTAGACACTGGACGTGGGCTTGAGCTGTTACGAATGATTTGACACTGGACAGTGTACAAGCACACATTGAATGTGGGTTTGGGCTGTTACAAATGATATGATACTGAACGGTGTAGAGGCAGACATTGGATGTGGGTTTGGGTTGTTACAAATAGTTTGATATTGGACGGTGTAGAGCTATGCAGTGCATGTGGGCTTAGGCGGTAACAAATAATAGGGCTAGACACTGGACGTGAGCTTGAGCTGCTACGAATGATTTGACACTGGACGGTGTACAAGCAGACATTGAATGTGGGTTTGAGCTGTTACAAATGGTATAAGAGCCCGACACTGGATGGTGTAGACCCGGGACTATTTATTTAAAAATGTGGAAGGAAAATGAAAAGAAGCATTAAAAATCATAACTTTGGGGTATGTGGATGTCTTTTTGGTGGAGGAATGCTTGTCACCTACTCATTTCTCTCCACTTTTCAACTCCCTCAATCCCTTCCTTCACTTCTCCACCTTCCTAGACAGAGAAAAAAACAGAGCTTTTTCTTCTTCTTCTTCTTCTTCTTCCTCCTCTGTTTCTGTAACAGAGCAACAATGGCGGAGAGCCATAAATGCAAGCTCTGCTCTCGAAGCTTCGTCAATGGCAGAGCATTAGGCGGCCATATGAAAGCCCATTTAGCCACTTTCTCCATTGAACATGAAAATCCCATCAAAACCCTCAGATCACCAGATCAAGAAATGCTCTGGATCTCCACCGCCCAAGACAGAGAGAGCGAAACCGAGTCAAAGAATCCAACTCGGCGGCGCTCTAAACGAACTCGGAGATTCAAGTCCGAGTCACCGCCGTCGTCGGAGCCTGCGAGTTCCATCTCCGACACCTCGCCGGAGGAAGACGTCGCCATCTGTCTCGTAATGCTCTCGATGGAACAGGGGAAGGAACAGAGTCGGACGCCGGTGACGGTGGGGAAAAGTTTCCGATGTGGGAAATGCCGGAAATCTTTCCGATCGAACAGGGCACTGTTTGGGCACAGAAAAGTTTGCAGAAATGAAGGGGAAGAAGATGGGATTAATGGAGGTGAGTGGAAGATCTTTAAATGTTGTTATTGTTGTAAAGTGTTTGGGTCTGGACAAGCTTTAGGGGGACATAAAAGATCCCATTTACAGGGTTCGATCAGAGCCGCCATTGATGGGAGTTCTAGGAAGCTTGAGATCGGTTTGGATCTCAATTTGCCAGCTCCACTGGAAGAAGATGATTACAGTGTAGTTTCTTTTGTATGATCATTTATAATATTTTTCTTTTAAAAATACTATTTGATTCATACGAGATATTTTGTTCTTTTATTTTCAACATTTGTTTAGTTCAATCTCTATTTTCATCCTGCTTGTAATATTCTTGTTCAAAAGATTTATTGAATGTGTTTATGCTCAAATTCTTATAAATTAAATAATTATGACATTAAATTTTAATTGTATGTTGAGTAGATCTACCAACAAGTAGATTAAAGTACTATAATTTTTTTTTTTAAAAAAAAATTATTGAATACAAATTAAATGTGAAGTATTCTTTCGAGAAGAGACGTCGCTCGGAGGCGTATTGGAAATGATAACGGGTAAAGGATGGGTGTATGAACGAAGACCACTCTTCTCAATTGAAGCTCTTTAGTTGATTCGAGTATAACTCAGTAAATAACATGTTCAGATGCGCTCCAACCATAGGGTAAAGTTATAAATTCTTAAATTCATGTCTAATAAAGATATATGAACTTCGAAAAATGCGTCTAACACTTAAATCGTATACTAGACATGATTAAATCTATCAAACAGGTGTGGAAGGATTGGCCTTCGATCGATACCTTTCAACCAATGTGATAAATCCAACGATCGCTGAGGCTTATAAGCCTCTCGGGATAGCCTCCTCTTATTGAGGCTACTCCTTTCTCTCGAGCCCTCAAACAAAGTACACCCTTTTTGTTCGATATTGTGATTGGCCTTCGATCGATACCTTTCAACCAATGTGATAAATCCAACGATCGCTGAGGCTTATAAGCCTCTCGGGATAGCCTCCTCTTATTGAGGTTACTCCTTTCTCTCGAGCCCTCAAACAAAGTACACCCTTTTTGTTCGATATTGTGAGGACTCATTGTCATAGCTAAAGTTTAGGGCATAGTTCTAATATATAATATTGTCCACTTTGAACATAAGTCATCATGGTTTTGCTTTGGGCTTTCTCAAGAGGCCTCGTACCAATGGAGATAGTATTCCTCACTTATAAATTCATGATCTTCTATTAAATTAACCAATGTGGGACTCACTCCCAATAACCCCCAACACTAAATTGGTAATCTTTCAATAGAATGATTTAAAGCTAATGATATTATATCGTATGAATATTCGAAAAATTCATAAAAACTTCCCATTCTTATTTAATTAAACCGACAATTTAATGGTAAATCCTATAAAAAAAATTGTTAATTTCAATGAAATCAAACTTGGTATGAAATTAATTTTAGTCCATGCACAAAATTAACGTTCCTCAAAAACTTGCCCCATTGGACAAAAATTAAACCTCAATATTATTCTTCTTGGAAATTTTATTAATTTTTTTTTTGTTACCATATATATGTTTTATAATATTTTATGTGCATCATGTTGGACGATGAAAGTCCTATTATGCTCAAAGTGGACAATATCATACCATTGTTGAGAGTCGTGTTCGTCTAACATAGTATCAGAGCCATGCCCTAAACTTAGTCGTGCCAATAGATTGGTAAATCCTCAAATGTCGAATAAAGGACTCCAAAAGAAAAAGAGTTGAGCCTCCTCGAAAGCATAGTAAAAAAATGACTAAGACTCCAAAAGAAAAAGAAGTAGAGCCTCGATTAAGGGGAGACGTACTTTGTTCGAGAGGAGGTGTTGGATGATGAAAGTTCCACGTTGACTAATTTAGGGAATGATCATGAGTTTATAATCAATGAATACTCTCTCTATTGCTATGAGGCATTTTGAGGAAGCCCTAAAACAAAGTCACGAGAGGTTATGCTCAAAGTGGACAATATCATACCATTGTGAAAAGTCGTGTTCGTCTAACATAGTCACGAGAGGTTATGCTCAAAGTGGACAATATCATACCATTGTGAAAAGTCGTGTTCGTCTAACATATATAACAAACATGCATGTATATATGTATATATATATATATATATATATATATATATATATATTATTTTACATATGGTTTTTAAGATTAAGAGAGTATATATATATATATATATATATATATATATATATTATTTTACATATGGTTTTTAAGATTAAGAGAGAGAAAATTATGAGGAGAGAGAAATCATGTTTTTCACGTGGGAAGGCAGCATTTTTGTTTTCTATTGTTTGAAATTAAAAAAAAATTATTTGACTAAAAAATAGATTAATTATTTAATTCTTATTTTAATGTCGAATTAAATATATATATATATATATATATATATATTATATTTCTTATTAAAAATGACTATTTATTAATACAAAAGTCAATTTAGATAATTTATCTCTAAAATAATTCTTTAAAAAATATTTTTAAAATAAGAAATAAGAAACAGGATAACATTACTAAACACACCTATTATTAATCCCAATTAATTAATTATAAAAAAAAGAAAATAAAATCACATAATACGAAAATATTAAAAATAAAAATATATATTTTAGAGATTAATAAAAATAAAATAAAATAAAATAAAACCGAAGCTCATTGGGTGGGTGGTGCTTATTTCAGGGTTTTTTTTTTCTTCTTTCCTTTTTTTCTTTATTTTTTCTTTATTTTTTTTTTCTGTGACATTTCGTTGCAAATCCTTCTGTAGATCTGTAAGTTATTATGTCTCTTGTGCTAGAATTCATGGCTTTGCGCTGCGCACAATGCGTTGAATTTTAGTGTATGTTTAGAATTGTGCGTGTGTGTGTGTGTGTGTTTCTTTTTGATTTTGGTAATCCTTGTTACTTGATTTCTCGTTGCTTGATTGGAGAGGTTTCAGAGTAGTCGGATCTTGCTCGTTTTAGGGTTGGATGTATTGGATTAGAGCTTGCGTAGTTGGGGGAAGTGGTATTGAGGTGCATTTGATCGATTAGGGCTGGATCTCTCGGTCTATACTGCGGTTTTAGCTGTAATCGAATTGGTTGAGGTGAGAATTCGGATTTGTTCTTCGGGTTTGGTGTGAATTTGGGGGGGCGTATTTAGGGTTTAAAAGATGGCTCCCAATCCTCCTCCATTTCAGGTGGAGGATCAGACAGATGAAGAATTCTTTGATAAATTGGTGGAAGATGAGTATGTGGAGGGCGATGATTCAGGATCCAAATTCCTCGATGGAAATGATTCTGACGATGCCAAGGCGTTTTCTAATCTGAGTATGAATGATGCAGACAATACATTCAAGGATTCTGGTGGTGTTGGTGACCATGGGCATGAAGCCATAGTGGAGAAGGGCTTCGTGGAGGCTGATCCAGGGGCATTGGGAGCACATGCAGAAGAGAAGGCTGCTTTGGTTTCTTCTAATTCTGTAGGGGGTAATGATGGTTTTGGATCAGAGTCGACCTCCGATTCGTTGGCAGGCAAGAGCGGTGAATCTGGTGGTCCGGCCATTAAGGAGGTAGGATGGAGTTCGTTTCATGCTGGTTCATCGCAAAATTGGGGACAGGGGTTTGGATCATATTCGGATTTTTTCAATGATTTGGGTAACAATGAGGCAGGGCCTCTCAGTGGGTCCTTGGAGAATAATTTGAATGGTGAAACGATGGTTAAATCTAGTGCAAAAGAGAACCATGCAAACAACTCTGTTAATTATGTGCCATATCAAAATGATCATCAAGTTTATGAAGGATCCACAGATCAAGTTTCGGCTGAGAATGATTTAAGTAGCAGTCAGCAGTGGGAAGATCTCTATCCAGGGTGGAAATATGATTCGGTTTCAGGACAATGGTATCAAGTAGAGAACTCTGTTGCAGCGGCGAACGTCCAAGCTACCTTTGATAGTAATTTGAACGGCGAATGGCCTGATGTTTCTGCCACAAAAACAGAGGTGGCGTATTTACAAACTGCTCAGTCTGTTGTTGGCACTGTAACTGAGACTAGCACGACAGAGGGTGTTTCTAACTTGAATCATGTATCACAAGGAAATATTGGGTACCCTGAACATATGTATTTCGATCCTCAGTACCCCGGTTGGTATTACGACACAATTTCTCAAGTATGGTGCTCCTTGGAATCCTATAATTCATCAATTAAAACAACTAATGGAGCTCAGCATAATCAAAATGAGCATGTATCAGCTTATAGCTATAATTATGGCAACAGTAGTATGTATGGTGATAATGTGCAGCCTAACGAATATGGATCGAGCGATGTGAATAATCAAGGCCTAGATGACAAATTGATAGGGTCTCGCCATAATGAAAATCAACAGAGTTTGACTAGCTGGCCAACAGAAAGTGTTTCATCTCAGGCTGAGCCAACTTTTGGTGGAAAGCAGCTAGTGGATACGTCTTCAAGTCCTGATTTTTCTGTAAGAAATGAGCAGCAGAAGTCTATTAGTTCTTATGGAACAGTTCCATCATATTTCCAACCAAGTCAGGGTCGTAGTGACGTCAATGGACCTACCAGCTTAAATAGCTTCCCCTCAACTATGGATTATGGCCATCAGGTTCATCAGGAAAATTCGAAGGAACATGAACATTTGTCTCTATCGAGTGACTATTATAGCAATCAGAAACAGGTGACTAATATTCAACAATCTTTTCACGGAGGTCATCAGTCTTCTTATGCTTCAAATGTTGGAAGATCTTCTGCTGGACGTCCTCCACATGCATTGGTAACATTTGGATTTGGAGGTAAACTTGTAGTGGTGAAAGAAAGCAGCTCGTTTCGAAACTCAACTTATGGTAGTCAGGTTAGGACACCCTTTTTCTCTCTGTTTCCCTCTTGTTGAATATAGGCTAATAGGCAAGAAAATACTCTGTTGCAGGTGTTGGCTTTAATATTTTACTTGTCGATACATATACCACAATCAAAATAATCATGTCCCGCTGTGTGCTTCTTCAAATTAAAAATATTTCAAGATTTATTCATTCGGATGCATCGAGTCTACTCTGATCTGTCATCTTTGTTACTTTTGAAGGATCCTGTTGGAGGCACAATTTCTGTCCTGAACATGATGGAAGTTGTCATGGGTAACACTAGTGCCTACGCTATTGGCAATGATGTTGGTGCAAGCGATTACTTCAGTGCTCTCTGCCAACATTCCTTTCCTGGTCCATTAGTTGGTGGAAGTGTGGGGAATAAAGAGTTGCAGAAATGGATTGATGAAAGGATTGCAAATTGTGAATCATCAGGAATGGATTACAGAAAAGGCGAAGCATTGAGGCTGCTTCTTAATTTGCTTAAGATATGCCATCAGCATTACGGGAAACTTCGATCACCATTTGGCACAGACACTGTGTTGGGGGTAACTTACTCCCCCCCCTAGAATATAAATGTGTTTGACATTATGGCCAACTCTTATCTTTATTTGTTTACATTTAAATTTACATTGTTGACATTATGGCCAAATGAGGAGTTGAGATATCTCCCCGAGAGGACGGCCATGGAGTTAATAAAAACTCATCTCATTGGAGTAGCCAACACAAGCTTTTTTGTGACTACTCCACATTCCTTATTAATTTAGATTGGAAGGTCTACTTGTAATTCTGTTGGGGAAGGGACTCCTGCTCCCTTTGCCCACCAGGGTGTTTTCTTTCGCCTGTTTTGGAAGCTTTTTCTTATCCAATAGATCGCTTGTAGGAGATATATTCTTAAGTATGACGAGTGACATTCATGTACGTGTTACACTGATTATTGGGGCTTTGGAGATTTCTTGTGATGTGTTGGGCCAATTTACTCCTAATATATTATTTAACACTATCTAATTCCGAGTTTTTTCTGCATCTTATTCAGCGTCCTCACGTAGCTTTCGATATCTATTGCTCTTGCTTCCATAGAGCTTTCTCTCCTGCCAATATATGTGTGTGCAAATGAGTGATTTAAAAGAGCAGTGTGTGAAGAAGTATATATTTAATTATTGTTTCAGTTAAAAGTCAATTTTTTAGAAGAGAAACAATTTAATCGATAAATGAAAAATTCAAATTACTTGTCCAGTTCTCTTTCTCGTAGTTTAATTATTGAACCTTTGGTTTGTTACAACTTATTGTTGCACCGTTCTGAGCTATCCTTACACTATGCCCATGGGCAATGTTCCAACTCTGTTCTTTATGAACACTTCAACTACATTTCGTCCTAATTTATACTTGTATTTTTATCAGGAAAGTGATAATCCAGAATCAGCAGTTGCCAATCTTTTTGCTTCGGCCAAGGAGAATGGTGTGCAATTCAATAATTATCATTCGCTTAGTCACTGCTTTCAAATATTGCCTTCTGAAGGACAAATACGGGTATTAATTGTTAATTCTCCATTCTAAAGCAAATACATGATAACGAGATTGAAACAAGAGTAAATCATTAGCTTCTGGGTGATGTAACATTTTCTTGGTGCATGTTCTAGGCAACTGCTTCTGAGGTTCAAAGTCATCTAGTATCTGGTAGAAAAAAAGAGGCTTTACAATGTGCACAAGAGGGTCAGTTATGGGGACCTGCCCTTGTTCTTGCTTCACAACTTGGCAACCAGGTTAGTTTGTTTTGTTTTTATTTATTATTTTTTTTTTTCCTGTTGGGTTTTATCTTTGCTACCCATCCCTCTTAGATTATGTCTTGGATTCTCAAATGCATATATTTGGTGAAAACTCCTTATATTTGAAGTCTTATTTATGTATAGCGTGCATTTTGAATTTTGCAGTTTTACATTGATACTGTAAAGCAAATGGCTCTTAAGCAATTGGTACCTGGATCGCCTTTGCGGACACTATGCCTGCTTATAGCTGGCCAACCAGCAGAAGTCTTTTCTACAGTTACAACGCCTAACATCAATCCTCTGGGTGGTAGCATGGCTCAAAACTCTTCACAGGTGATGTAGGGTCGAGATGATTTGCGTCTTAAAAATATATCCTGTATTGTTGCTGTAACACCTTATCCCTTAACTCAACTATGTTGCTACAATGGATAGTATTTTTCTTTTCCTTAATGAAATGGAAACCAACTCTGTAATGGGAGAGCAGTGAAGATCAGCTTTTCTTAACTTTTCAGGATATGTGATGTTTTTTTATTTATTATTATTCGGGTATTTGTCCCGTACGAAGCTCATGTGTTGTTCTGTGTGTCATATTCACAGTTTTCTGCAAATAGTATGCTGGATGATTGGGAAGAAAATTTAGCAGTGATAACTGCCAACAGGACAAAAGATGATGAACTTGTAATTATTCACCTTGGAGACTCCTTATGGAAGGAAAGGAGTGAGGTTAGATTATTTCTGAAAAATATTTGCGACTGATGTTTCATTGAATGTTTCATAACTGAATCGGCTGGGCAACATTTTCAGATAACTGCTGCTCACATTTGCTATTTAGTTGCCGAGGCGAACTTTGAGTCATATTCAGACAGTGCTAGACTCTGTCTTATTGGAGCTGATCACTGGAAATTTCCTCGTACCTATGCTAGCCCAGAGGCTATCCAGGTATTCATTAGATATATTCCATGAAGCAAGATCAGTCGTACGGTTAAGTTTAGTAATGTGTGGATACGGGTATGACATTTATTGGGCATGTGTTGAACACTTGTTAATAAAAACGTACGGATACTTGTAGACATAAGAAGACATAAAACAAACAATTATCAGGAATGAGCTAAAAGTATTCAAACTCTTAATTTTTTTGAAAAATGGAAACAAAAATGATTGATTTTTGACTTCTTCTTGTATATATTAAAAACATGCATTCTACTGTCCCTGTTCTCATATAGGTGCCCTACATTTTTAGAAAATAACCTCTCTTTGTGGTGTTCTTGATCTTTGGATAAATTTAGTTTCTGATCTTTACAATATCGGGTTTCCCTCTGCTCTAGCATATGCTGTCTGCTACTCATTGGAAATTTTCCTTTCGTGTATCGTACCGATGTTGTTTTACAATTATTTCCAGCAGTCTTCTGTTGTAAGCACTTCTTTCCTTTATTTATTTTTTTAATGATTTACTTCATAAATTCATACAGAATTTACTTGTGTATCTGGACAGAGAACTGAATTATACGAATACTCCAAAGTTCTTGGAAACTCTCAGTTCATCCTTCTACCATTTCAGCCATATAAGCTCATATATGCATACATGTTAGCAGAAGTGGGGAAAGTTTCAGACTCATTGAAGTAAGTGCCTTCACTGGTTTACATTTCTTTTTTCCTTTGGATAAGAATTATACATCAAAAAAGCAAAAAATTATGAAAAAGAGAGGACCAGGATCCCCCTGGATTTATATATTTTGAATAACAATCTCGAGACTGAAAAATGGAAAAAAGTAATAATTTCTTCATTTTCACTTCAAGCGCCTAAGGTCCCCCCGAAAGTTGTAGCGTTAGCACCCGAAAGAAGAGCATTCATATTGTTTATCTAAGGAATTTTAGCATTTTCAAAAGAATATTCCCAAGAATACTATCTATTGTGATTCCTATCATGTTCCACAAAAATAAAAATAGAGTATCTATTGTGCTGAGTCAGGAAACGATTTAGTATTTGAGACCAAAATCAATAAAAATTCTGTACCTGCATCATCTAGTCCTTTGAGAGAGGCCAAATAGACTATCAAGATTTCTTATCCTTATTCGAATGACTTCGGGTTTTCAATGATCTTACAAGAACACGATATTCTGGAATTTGGATCAGGTATTGCCAAGCAGTTTTGAAGTCACTTAAAACTGGTCGTGCACCTGAAGTTGAAACATGGAAGCAGTTGCTGTTTTCTCTTGAGGAGAGGATTAGAGCACATCAACAGGTATTCATCTCATTTTCTTGGTTTCAGAACTAAAACATTGAGGCAGTTTCAATAAATGTTTATACAATTTGCATACAACCCGTAGGGTGGATACACAGCAAATTTGGCCCCTGCAAAATTAGTCGGAAAACTGCTCAACTTTTTTGACAGTACCGCCCATCGTGTTGTCGGGGGCTTGCCGCCTCCTATACCATCAACTTCACATGGCAATATTCATGATAACGAACATTATCATGAGCCAGTGGTCCCGAGAGTATCAACTAGTCAGTCAACAATGGCGATGTCATCGTTAATTCCATCTGCTTCGATGGAGCCCATAAGTGAGCGGACTGCCGATAGCAGTAAGATGACAGTTTCAAACAGGAGTGTTTCAGAGCCAGATTTTGGAAGAACTCCAAGACAGGTGTGATGTTTGTAATTTTCATTTTTACTCTGTCATTGCTGAAAAAGATTTACCAGATCAAGTGATCAATTCTATTATTTGCAACAGAATCAGATCAGTTCTTCAAAGGAATCAATGTCAGCTGATAGTCAAGGCAAAACATCAGATTCAAGAGCATCTCGTTTTACTCGTTTTGGTTTTGGTTCACAATTGTTGCAAAAGACTGTTGGATTAGTCTTGAGACCTCGCCTGGGTCGACAGGTTGTTACTCACATCATATTTTTCTAGATTTTCCTGGAGATCTTTGTATTCTTTCAAACGCGTTGCCTATATCTTTTCTATTCGCCACTTACATTTGTTTTTCTTTTTCGGTTGTGTTACTGAAGGCGAAATTGGGTGACAAGAACAAATTTTATTATGATGAAAAGCTGAAGAGATGGGTCGAGGAAGGTGCCGAGTCTCCAGCAGAAGAGCCAGCCTTACCACCACCTCCTACAACTACAACATTCCAGAATGGTGGTGCTGATTACAACTTGAGATCTACACTAAAGAAAGAAGCACCATCCCATGATGGAAATGTGGAGTTTGCAAGTCCCAATCCTATTCCTGCAGAAAATAGTTCCGGAATCCCCCCTATCCCGCCAAGTTCAAACCAATTCTCAGCTCGTGGACGGATGGGCGTTCGTTCAAGGTACTACATCAAATGTTTAATTCGCGTGCCATTCAGTGAAACATATGTTTTCTCCTTGCAACATTCAGTGAAACTCAAGCTGTCTTGTTTGATTTTGTTAGGTATGTTGACACCTTCAACCAAGGGAGTGGGAGCTCAGCAAACTTGTTTCAGTCACCTTCCGTTCCATCAATTAAGCCGAAGGTTGCTGCCAGTGCGAAATTCTTTGTTCCAAGTCCCGCATTGCCAGCCGAACCGACAGAGGAGACTATACCGGAATCCTCTCAGGAAGACACTACAACCATTGAACATCCTTCAACATCCACCACAAACGATTCATTTTCTAGTCCCTCATCAACTATGCCTATGCAAAGGTTCCCTAGCTTGGGAAACATCTCAGTGAAGGGTGCAAATAAAAGTGTCAATGGGCCCTTTGCAGCAGATAACTCCCGACGAACTGTATCATGGAGCGGTGCAAACTTCAGTGATGCCTTAAGCCCCCCTCATATACCGTCGGGGCTTAAACCTCTTAGCGAAGAATTGGGTATGCCCCCGTCCTCTTTTATGCCTAGCGAACCACCACCACCACCACCACCTTTTGTCCAAGCACCAATTAATGGCGGTGGTGGCATGGGAGATGACCTCCATGAGGTGGAACTTTAAGTAGTTAACATGTAAATACGAAGTTTTGTTCCTTAGTTGACCCACACAGATACTCGAATACAATCGTCGCGCCTGCATCTCTCCAGCATAAAAAGATCGGTCGTCGTATGCACCAGAATATAGAGCTCATCAAAGCAAGTCCTCAGCAAGTATGTGCCCTTTTTGTTTTCTCTGAAATCTCTTTGTTCCCAACCCTGAAATTTACGAACACTAATATAGTCCACAATCATCTCTATATGCTTTATATGCTTTAGATGTGAGTTCATTTTACTCTCCTAGGAGTTACCAATGTATGATACTTCTGGAGCTGGTATTTTACGTTAAAAGCAAAGACAGAAGGCCTTTGTTGGCACCATTGTACAGCTCTTTTGTTTATTAACCCCCGCCCGCCCGCCTGCCCCTCCCGTTTTTCAGAGACTAGAAAATGGCCCTTATAAGGTGCTTCAAATTTGAACATCATTAAGATGGAAAAATGTACCGAATTGTGAAGAATAAGACGATTTGTTCCTTGTGATTGCAATTTGGTTTTAGATGTGGATGTGAGGCCTGGAGTATTCTTTAAGACATTTGTGATGTCCCACATTGGTTGGGGAGGAGAACAAATCACCATTTATAAGGGTGTGGAAACCTTCCCCTAGCAGACGCGTTTTAAAGCCTTGAGGGAAAGTCCAAAGAGGACAATATCTGCTAGCGGTGGATCTGGGTCGTTACAACATTTTACCTTATAATGGCAACTAGGGGGTTGCCACGACCGTGGAAGCCATGTTTGCAGTGAACTGCGTTGAGCTATTTTATGTCAAAGGATTAAGCGTTTTTGGAGGTTGCTGATTATTCATATGTTTGTGGAAATTAAAGTCTGTTTTGATTTGTTTTTCAAAGAGTGCAATTTTGGTGGTTGACCAGGCCTTTCGAAGACATACAATTTAATATAACATTCCAACGTGAAGTCATTCAATGGTTTCTTCTCCCGATCCTATTTGTCATTTTTGACGATATCTGAAGAATAAGTATCGACAAACTCGGTGCCAGCAGCTGCGGTCATACAGAGGATGCAAGCGTTATCCGAAATGATTGGACGTAAAGAGTTTGTAGGTGGCTTTTTAAGTCTGCCATCAAATCTCCGGGCTCAACCTTGGACAGGCAGTGGAAACTACCAAGCTGGAGTACGGTAGGGGAAAAGGAAATTTTCGGTGGAGCGGTGAAATGCGTAGAGATCAGAAAGAACACCAACAGCGAAAGCACTCTACTGGGCCGACACTGACACAGACAAAAACTAGGGGAGTAAATGGGATTAGATTCTCCAATAGTCCTAGCCGCAAATGATGGATATTAGGCACTGTGCTAAAAAAGTTGAGTTTTTACAATACTTAATGAGACACTCCCCTATTGGGATCATATATGCAAACATTTAAATGGTTAAAATAACGAAATCAAAAGACCTTGGTGGTTAATTACCTGGACACTCAACATGTTATTTTCTCGCATAAGTTATTTTCAATCACCATTGTTAGTGCTCATTGGTGCTTTTATAAAATCTTTTTCAATCACCCCTTTTAGCGATCATCCCACCCTATGTCCAAGGTTCAAATCAAGATTTTGAATTCAGATCTAACACCTAATTGTCCCGACATGTTTTTGCATCTCTACAACATGTTCATGTTACCTATTTGTCTCGAATTACTTTTTAAGAGTGAAAACTATCCCCACAAATCAACATAAGTCTTTTTAGCATGTTTTGTCATCACTCATCAACATGAGTCCTTTTAGCATGAGTAAGGACAAAGCATACTAAAACAACTAGTGCTGGTTTGTGGCAATAATTTTCACTATTGGAAGCAATTCGAAACAAACAAATAAGTGATGTAGCCGTGTTGTATGGATGTAGAGCAATGTCGAGGTTATTAGGTGCCGAATCTAAACTTCAAATCCTAGACATGAGTTGTTAAATAATATTAAAGCGAAATATCTCCCAACAGGATGTGGTTCGAAAAATCCGATAAAATCGAAATGATAAAGAGAAGATTAGCATGACCCATGTACAAGGATGACGTACACAAATCAAGAAATTGTTTGAATCATGTATATGAGGTATTACAATCAACGCTTTTAGCTATCATTCGTGATTAATTTAATTAACCAAACACACCACGCGTAATCTTTTCAAGAAATCTATTTTATTTTATTCTTGAAAACAAATTTAACAAAAAGTCTTTTTTTTTTTCAAGTATTTTATTAAAATCATTGCCAAATTTGTAGCTACGAACACTCCGTGCATTTTTCCAATTAAAATGAAAAATTGAGCGAGTATGAACTTGGCGATGCCTTTAGGGTCTACGAGTCAAATCCAATATCGAATGGTAGCCATTGGATCGATTTGCTGACAATAATTTTGTACACCTCCAGATAATTTCTGAGAATTTGCTTCTCGCAATCCCATCACACGCCGGTTTTTCTCCCAAGAACCCTTTCCCAGTTTTGCAACTTGCTATCACAACCTCTGCCGCATTCAATCTCTCGACAACTGGGACAAATCGATAGAATTAGCTCAAATTCTTCGAATCCCAGTTCCATTTCATCCATGGCCGACCATCCTGATGATTTACACGAACTTCTTGATAGTATGCCCTTCAAACTTCATCCAATCCGTTGTGGGATTCTGTTTCTTTTACGTTTTTCTTCGTGTTTGTTATGAATTCTGTTCGAATTTTCTCAGGTGCTTTGGACGATTTTCAGAAATTCGACCTTAGTCCTTCCGTTTCGAGGTTTATCGATCAATCTCTGTTGGAAACTTCCTTTTGGTAGGGTTTTTAGTTGGTTTCTTGATGTTTTTAGTTCTGTGTTCTTGTAGAAGTGGAGATGGGGCGGAGAGTAGGGCGGTTCTCCCATCTGGGGTTCAAGGTTTAGGGATGGGTTTGCCTGACCTAAGGAGCAAGAAAAAAGGGAAGCAAAAAGTTTCGAAGGAATCGCATGTCTCTGAGGCTCTTGATAAGCTCAGAGAACAGACCAGAGAGGCTGTCAAGGGGCTTGAATCAGTGACTGGTCCTAAACCTGGTGTTGAAGATTTTGGTAAAGATGCTTTGATGGAAGATTGGGTGAAGCAGTTCGAGGAGATGGCTGGCTCTCAGGTACATTGCTTCAAGCCTTTGGAACTCTTGAATGTTGAATCTGGCCTTTAATTGCATTACTTTTCCTTGTTCTATGTCTCTTGAACAGTGTTTTGTGATCTCAAATGATTAGATTCTGATTAAGGGGGAGTTTGGTATGATGATGGAGGAGTGGAAAGTGTTTTTAAAAGGAGTTTTTTTATGGTATTTGGTCCATAGTTAATGGTATTTGTCAAATCCCACATCGGTTGGAGAGGAGAACGAAACACCCTTTATGAGGGTGTGGAAACCACTCTCTAGCATACATGTTTTAAAAACCTTGAGGGGAAGTCCGAAAGGGAAAGCCCAAAGAAGACAATATATGCTAGCGGTGGGCTTGGGTCGTTACGGTATTTCCTTCTGAAAATGCTTGTAGAAGAAGAGCAGGGGGTAAAGATGCTGGGATTGTGCATAATTCCAAGCAGGATGTTCACTCTTGGTCCTGTTATTTGGAGCAAGTACCCTTGCTCTCTTTGTGAGGCTGGGCGTCTGGCCAGGCACCCTCTAAATCTTATTTCATTATTGAGTAACTTGTGACATTTCAGTCATTTGTTTTAGGAAGTTTAATGAGAATATGGATGGGGATTCAAAACTATTAACTTTTTCGAGGAAGTAGAGATGTAACTGTCTAAACCCACTGCTAGTAGATATTGTCCTCTTTGGGTTTTCCCTTTCGGGCTTCCCTTCAAGGTTTTTAAAATGCATATGCTAAGGAGAGGTTTCCACACCCTTATAAAGAATGTTTCGTTCCCCTCTCCAACCGATGTGGGATCTCACAATCCACCCCCGTCCGGAGCTCAGCGTCCTCGCTAGCACTCTTTCCCTTCTCCAATCGACGTGGGGTCTCACAACCCCGCCCCCCTTTTGGGGCTCAGCATCCTCGCTAGCACACCGTTTAGTGTCTGACTTTGATACCATTTGTAACAACCCAAGCCCACTGCTAGAAGGTATTGTATTGTCTTCTTTGGGCTTTCCCTTTCGGACTTTCCCTCAAAGTTTTTAAAATGTGTTTGCTAGGGAGAGGTTTCCACACCCTAATAAAGAATGCTTTGTTCCCCTCTCCCAACCGATGTGGGATCTCACAAGAGATGTCTAGCTGTTGACCTTTGCATATGCTGACAATAACGAAGACTTATTCTCAGCGTTTTTTCAGAGTTTGCAAGTGTTTCTATATATTTTCTTCCTCATTTTTCAGAAAAAAGCATCTTCCATATCTTTCCAGGTCCTTTTTTATTAGAAGATTCTCTATGGAATGACAATATGATTCTTGGTTTCCCTTTATCATATCTTGCTTTAGGTCCCTCATTTATTGAGGATTTTGCCCTCAGATAGACTACGTAATGGAGTTTTAACTTGTTTTAAACGAGTTCAAATGTCTACGTTATAAGTTTTCTGTAACCCATCATTGCTAAAATTCTTCACTACTGAGAGATAGATGGCTTTGAACCCGATTGGCGAGTGCATTAAATCGATGGTAGGTACTCTGAAATAGTTGAAAATGTTCTAAATGCAGATATCTCCTAAGTTTAACTGTTTATGTAAAATAGTTAGTAGTATTATTGAATAGAATCTTAGTCAAAAGTTAATCTGGTTTGATGCATGAATAACTGTACTTGGAACTGAGATGGAGAGGATATTTCATTGAAGGAATAGCCTTATTTACAAATTGGAAGTTTGAACACGGGGGGAACCAGTAGAACCTTGTTAGATCCCACATTGGTTGAGGAGGGGAACAGAGCCTTCTTTATAAGGATGTGGAAACCTCTCCCTATCAGACGCGTTTTAAAACCTTGAGGGGAAGTGTAGAAGGAAAAACCCAAAGAGGACAATATCTGCTAGCGGTGGACTTGGGCGGTTGCAAATGGTATCAGAGATAGTTACCGGGCGATGTGCCAACGAGGACACTGTGCCCCAAGGGGGGTGGATTGTTAGATCCTATATCGGTTGGAGAGGGGAACGAAATATTCCTTATAAGGGTGTGGAAACCTCTCCCTATCAAATGTGTTTTAAAACCTTGAGGGGAAGTCCATAAGGAAAAACCCAAAGAGGACAATATCTGCTAGCGGTGGACTTGGGTGGTTACAAATGGTATCAGAGCTAGTTACCAGGCGGTGTGCCAACGAGGACGCTGGGCCCCAAGGGGGGTGGATTGCTAGATCCTATATCGGTTGGAGAGGGGAACGAAGTATTCCTTATAAGGGTGTGGAAACCTCTCCCTATCATACGTGTTTTAAAACCTTGAGGGGAAGCCCGGAAAGGAAAGCTCAAAGAGGACAATATTTGCTAGCGGTGGGTTTGGGTTGTTACACTCCTTTACTCCTTTTCTGCAAGAAAGAGCTGTAGAAGGGTTTTCTTCAATCATTGTTCTTTCGAGTAGTCCTAAGCGATTTCATGGTTTTGCATTGGAATCACTTATCTTACCCCTCAACAATCATTTTGTCTTCACTCCTTTGGGCCATGTTCTAGGCTTAACAAGAGGAGTTATTCACTTGACAAAGGATCGTCCACCTCGTGGTGACGTCTTTGTGATCGACTCTGAGGTAAGTTTGAGTCGTGTGGAATCAGTCATTCAGCCAACGGATTTCAATACAGAGGTTGATGTTTTTGAAGTTTTTTGGAAAGTCTTTTGCCTTATTATTTCAGGATCGTGACAAGAAGAAGGAAACCGCATCATTCATGTCGGCCAAATTTTCTGTGTTGATAGAATCTTGTGGTTTCGGGTTTTTTAAGGTTTGTCGTGGGTTGGTGATCGGTTCTTCGCTTTCTTTGGAAGACTTAAAGTAGTTTTTAATTTTTTAGTGTTTGGTGGCGTGAGATCTCACATCGGTTGGAGAGGGGAGGGGAACGAAGCATTCTTTATAAGGGTGTGGAAACCTCTCCCTAGTATAAACACGTTTTAAAAACCTTGAAGGGAAGCCCGAAAGGGAAAACATAAAGAGGACAATATCTGCTAGTGGTGGGCTTGGATTATCATTGGTGGAGGCCTTATTTATAGTTTCCTCGTTCACTTGCAAGCCCGCTAAGTTTTTCAGATAAAGTTTTTGGCCATTTTTTCCATTTGAGTCTTACCATGAATTTTTAACGTGCACCATTTGTTAGGACATGGAATCCATTGTTGAGACCATGATGCAACAACTTTTATCGAAAGAGATCCTCCATGAACCCATGAAAGAAATAGGAGAAAGATATCCCAAGTGGTTGGAGGAGCATAAAGCAAGTTTGAGCAAAGAAGAATACGATCGCTACTCTCAGCAATACGTACTGATAAAAGATCTCAACATCGTGTACGAACGTGAACCCGACAACTTCAGTAAAATCGTTGAGCTCATGCAGAAAATGCAAGAATGTGGTCAGCCACCAAATGACATCGTGAAAGAACTGGCACCTGATTTCGACTTAACGAATCTTGCACAACTGTGAGTAGATTCTCCCCATTCTTATCTCTCGTTCGTTCTTTTCGTATCGTTCGTCATGAACATATTTTAACGAATATACTCTCGTTCTCTCGATGTATATATATATGTGCAGGTCTCCAGAGATGTTGGAGTCTCAGGCAAATTGTTGTATAATGTGAGGTAATGGTAATGCTTTTGGATGTGATCTGATTTGTGGTGCTGCTTTCCTTCCATTGATTTTCTCATATTTGCTCAGAAATATTGTTAAATCTCCAAGAAATTACTTTGTCCAATAAATAATTATATATGTTGTTAAGTTTCATAGTTTTTAGTTTATACTCAAATCTTATAATTATACCTTGCCTGACTATTGTGCCTTTTGCTTTGGTTTCAATCATGCACTTTTTTTTTCGATCGCACACGCACACGCACACGCACACAAGATTATTGTAGTAACGGACATGGGTTCTACCTTGTCTGTTGTCCGGGCTTCGGCTTGGATTATAGATTGGAAATAATGTAGCGCCTTGGAGACTTTTAAG